CCGACGTGGTGGCTGAATTCGGCATCCTTTAATTGACAAAATGTAGACCTGCCGTCACTGGCCTAGTTCGCAACGAGTTCGAAAAGAAACATATCGGGATATTAGGGGCTAGAGTTGTCTCTGGGACAAGAGGAACATAGGGTATGACTTGTGAAATGAGTGTGGATTGATGATTGTCGGTCGGTGGCAGCCCTAACGTGAGAGATAGCGAGTCCGTCGTATTGGTGAGTGATTCGGTCAGGACTGGAATGGGGTCCAATTCCAGCCTCGTTGTTGTTGTCATGTCGTCACCTTTTCGGCTAAACCTTGAGTTGGAAGCTATGGATGCCACCGATTGCATTTGAGAGCGCAACACGTCATTTTCTCGTTGGATAAAAGCAATTTGCTGAGCCATTTCACGCTGAATTTCTTCCTTAGCGGTTTCAAGTTGCTCCTGAAATTCTACTATCAAGGGATTTGTGCTTCCGGCCATGATCGATTCTTCTTTGCATGAATTTCCCATAGATAGCGCCAATTGTTTTAAATAGAATCTAACTAATTAAAAGTTATTTGGTGAAGAGAGAATCGTGCAAGACTGAATCGATACTAGATTGGATAAGAACAATAGATAAATAATATGAATAATATAAAGTGTAGTGGATATTAGTTACTAAAGGTATGAGAGCAAAGTTACTGCTACTGATTGCAATTAATTGTCCTCCATATACATGATATCTCTTATATATACATATATTTAATTCAAGCTCCCCTATTAGACTGCTCAACTGTCTGGCGAAATAGGTGCTCCCCCTGTTTTCTCGCCACTACTGCTACTCGTTCTCATCCTTCTTTTACTTCTGGAATCCGTCCATGCTTATCTCCTTGCAATAGGCTTTTTTTTAGTTTATTGGACTAATACTTGGTTTTATTCGAATATTAGATAGGTCCACCAATCACATGTAAATTTCTAGGCCCAACATTGATCGTATTGATTGTGCGCTACAAGGATAACTATGTAGTCTATTTAATGAGGTGAGCTTCACATCTTCCCCGAGTTTCGTGCCTGCTATCCTCTTTTTTTCCATGTTCAACCGAATGCACTTATCCTATTTTCCTCTTTGAATTAGCCATTTGTTAGACGATTTACCATTATTTCATTTGGTCTCGAATTGACTCCCTTCGGACAATTGATTTACCGGCCCCATCGCTTAGAATAATGTAGGCCCAACGGTTCTGTAATTGGTGCTGCTGATCGGCAATTCAAATGCCATTTCTTTCCAAGTGTCCGTGCGGTGACAAAAGGCAAACAAATCCTTCCCCAGCTTTATTTTTGAATCCGAGAATCAGCTGTTGGTCTGCTATCCATGAATCTTCCTTACTGGACGTCAAAGAATGTGGTTCCCGTCCGAGATGTTATGGGCTGTTTGTGCCTTATCAACATGTTCTTCTTGGGAGGGACAATGCGAAGATACCGTTCGGGTTTGGGTCCAAGTTCATCCAGAGATGTCCTGGGGCTAGCTCCTCTAAAGGGCCGGTTCTGGGGGGGGCAAGAGGGGCGACCGCCCTAGGCCCAAAAAAATAGAAGAAAAAATAGGCCCAAATTTTTTCTTTATATATAGTGTGAGTACGCTTCTTTTTTATCCTTAAGTTCAATTAATTAGGTCTAATCATTAATTTTTTTGACAATTTGAAAATTTAAAACATAAATAAAGATTCTGTTTGCTCGAGGGCCCGAAGACATTCCGGGCATTGACCCTAAAATACTGTCACAAGCTGGCCGTTCGGCCCGACGCCAAACCAGTGCAACAAAAGAAAAGATACCAAGCGGTCGAATGGCGTGAGTTTACGAAGCAGGAAGTGGCCACGTTGCTAAAAGTCAAACGCATTAGACCTGTGATCCATGTCGAATGGTTGGAAAATGTGGTACTCGCACCGAAAGGATCTACTTGGAGGATGTGCGTGGATTATTCTGATCTGAATAAAGCATGTCCGATGCACCCCTACCCGGTGCCTCGAATCGATCTCTTGGTAGATAAAATGGCTGGATGTGAGCTCTTGAGTTTAATGGATGCCTTCCGGGGATGCCATCAGGTTTTCATGCACCCGGATGACGCGGAAAAAACAGCATTCATCACTTCGTACGTGGTATTTTGTTATATCGTAATGTCGTTCGGATTGAAGAATGTCATGACTACCTTCCAGGGGATGATCGGAATGCTTTTCAAAGAAGTATTAAGGGTTACCATGGAGGCGTATGTGGATGACATCCTTATCAAGACCAGGAAAAAGGAGGATCATGTTCAAGACATGGAGAAAGTGTTCGGGATAATGTAGAGAGCCAACACGAGATTAAATCCCAAGAAGTGTGCCTTCGCAGTCAAAGGGGGCAAGTTCTTGGGATACATGATGAGCGAGAGAGGTATTGAGCCAAACCCTGAGAAAATAAAAGCGATCATGGAGATGGAAGCACCAAGGAACCTGAAGGAGGTTCAGAGGTTGACGGGTCAGTTAGCGATCCTAAGCAAATTCTTAGCCAAATTGGACAACCGAGCGATTCCTTTCTTCCAGATTATGAAGAAGGCAAACCCGTTCGAATGGACAACAGAGTGTCAAACGGCCTTTTAAAATTTCAAAACCTATTTATCTTCTCCCCTGCTCCTGACCAAGGCGGACCCAGGGGAGCATTTGTACATGTATTTAGCCGTGGCTGACCTTGCAGTCAGCTCGGTCCTGCTAAATGAGGATGATGACGACCAACGCCCAATTTATTTTGTTAGCAAAGCCCTGAACGGGTCAGAGACAAGATACACCTTGATGGAAAAGACTGTGCTGACCTTAATTGCATCCATCAAACATTTGACACCATACTTCCAAGCTCACCAGGTGACACTCCACATGACCAACCACTAGAAACTATATTGAGAAATCCAATGGCCAGTGGGCGCATTACCAAATGGGCGCTCCTGATCGGGCAGTACGAGATAGATTTCAAGCCTCGACCTACCATCAAAGGTCAGGAATTGGCGCATTTCATAGCAGAATGCACCAATCGGCCGACGGAGAGTGAACCGAACGAGAATGTCCTGGATAATTGGTGGGAGATGTATGTAGATGGGGCATCAAGTGCCAAAGGTTGCGGTGGCGGAGCTGTAATCACATCACCTGAGGGGTTCAAGGCATATTATTCCATTCATTTTGATTTTAGAGTAACTAACAATGAGGCCGAATATGAGGCCCTTATTGCAGGTTTAAGGCATGGTAAGGCCATGGGTGCCGATCGGCTGAAGGTTCGGTCGGACAGCCAGCTGGTGATCAGCCAGGTGAATGGAGCCGCAGAAACCAAATAAGAAAGAATGAAGGCATATAAGGAGCTGGTCGAGGAACAAGTTAGTAAATTTGAACAGGTGGTGCTCGACCAGGTCTCCAAAATAGAGAATGCCGAAGCCAATATCTTGTCAAAACAGGAGAATGCAGCACTTGATGATCGGGTACAGATAATCCCAGCGCACATCCAGCGGTGTGCCCACCTGGAAACCTTGACCAACCCGTCGACCATGGTCCTTCAGGTGGAGGCTATTTCTTATGTCGTTCCTACTTGGGTCACAAACATGACCAATGGCCAAAAACACTGGCAAGAAAGATCATCTTGCAAGGATATTACTGGCCGATCATCTAGCAAGATTGTTTTGTGCATACAAGAAAATGCAAAGTCTGCCAGCAATACGCATCAGTGCCCGGACGGCCGGCGAGTTTTTATACACCAATGACTACAACATTGACGTTCGCTAGGTGGGGGATCGACTTGCTAGGGCCCCTACCTACAGCACCTGCGGGGAAGAAGTACATCATTGTCGGTATTGACTACTTCACCAAATGGGTGGAGGTTGAACCGCTGGCTAGCATCACCGAATTCCAATGCCAGAAGTTTGTTTGGCAAAATATCATTTGCCGGTTCGGTCTCCCAGAGCAGATTGTTACTGATAACGGCCGTCAGTTCGTGGGAAGGGCTTCGAAGAGTTTTTGGCTAAATAGGGGATCAAGCATTCCAAAGCATCAGTGGCCTACCCCTAGGAAAATGGCCAAGTCAAGAATATGAACAGAACCATTATGGATGGTATGAAGAAGAAACTGGAGGAATACTCTTCCACTTGGCCCGATCAGGTAAATTACATCTTATGGACTTACTAGACAACCCTAAGGACAGCTACTAGGGAAAAGACGTTCGCTCTATCATATGGTTTTCAGACCAAGGTCCCGACAGAAGTCCTGGTGCCTACACATCGGACGATCCACTTTAATCCCGAACATAACGAAGATACCTTACGGGTAGAATTACATTTCATCGAGCAGGGAAGGGATCTGGTTGCGAGGAGGATCGAGGAGTACCACAGAGCCACCCGCAGATATTTTGATAAGCAATTCAAGGCCCGTTCCATCGAGGTGGGAGATTTGGTTCTAAGGAAAAGAGAAAAGAGCAAGTCACTCGAGAGCGGAAAACTGGCCAAAAATTGGGAAGGCCCATACCAAGTTTGGAAGAAGTACGCTTAAGGGACGTTCGGCCTAAGAACTATAGAAGGCCATTCGGTAGGCACCTGGAATGTTGAGCACCTGAGAAAATTCTACCAATAAAAATGGATGTTGCCACCTCTTCAAAAAAAAAAAAAAAGGGAGACACAACTTCCAGAAAAGCCTCACCTCGACTATAAACATTGAAAACCATTCCGGACGACCGAATGGGGATCATTGCTATAGTCTTGAGGGAGCCATTATCTCAGCTAAGTTTTGACCTTGCGCTCTGGACGAGTAGACGAAGGATTCAAAATAGATTGGAGGTGATGTTAAAACCATGAGTATGGACAATCCGAGCGGCATTTGGTAACACGGATGAGCTGAACGGGGGATCGGAACTATGGTTTCTAAATCTCGCCTCAGTCATTAGCTTCGACGAACCACGATGACATGGGATCGAAGGGTGGAATCCAAGCTATGACTTGGAGGTGAGTCGCCATTTTAGCTGTAGGTAGGAAATGACCCAAATAGGGGATCTTACTTATAGTTTGAAAATGGACATCTCAAAGCCTTAGTATGGATAATCCGGATCGGAGAAAACCGAACGGGGCATCGGAACTATGGGTTTGGAAGATGACGAATCGGTAAAGAAAATATCGGTCCAGTAACTTGCACGATCGGGGCAATAATCTTTAGTCTTCGACACTACCGGCCGGGAAATACAAGAAAGGGAAAGAATAAGTCAAAAAAGAAGAAAAGATACCAAGCTATTCTACTGGAAGGTCCCTGACCGTGGAAGATGCAGGCTATGAACTGCCAGGATTAGCAGAATCCTTAGATGCTGCCTTGTTCCTCTTCTTCATGACCCGATCATAAGCATTCCCGAATAAATCATCAAAATCAGCCTCATCAGGGTCGAACGGCTTGGGGAAGTGCTCCATGATCAGATCAAGATTTCTATCGATAAGTAGATCTTGGCTCTTGACCAACGTGTCCTTAGCCAAAGCATCTATGAAGGTCATCCCTTCTGGCGCCTCGTCCATAAGCTTGATTCCAGCCGCCAAAGGATCCTCACTAGCACGAAGTTGCTGGCCAACATGAGCCCCCAAAAATTGCAGGGCAGTCTCTTCCGGGGCAACGCTCAATCCTTTTCCCCTTTGGAAGTCAATCACCGCTTGATTGGTGATCTTGGAGATATTGGCAATATAAGGAGCGGGGGGGTTTTCTCCCTCTGCCTTCTAAAATTTTACTCTAGCACTTTCGGCCACTTTCATCTTGGCCCTAAGATCGCTGATAGTCCGATCGCGACGACGGACCCTGTCCTCCGCTTCAGCCAGCTCGGCCATCACTTTTTCACCCTTACTGGCACGATCCTGCAGGTCCGCAATCAGCTTATGTGCAGCAACAAGGAGGGTTTGGCTCTCATCCCGATCACGGGCTAGAAACATCATCTCCCGCTCGGTAGCCAGGAAAGCCGGGTGGTAATAGACTTCAGCCTGAAGAATGGCAACCATAATTACACAAAATCTAGGGAATACAAAATCTGCAATATGGGCCAAGAGTTCATACCTTAATGGCCTCAAGGTGACCTGCCTCGACCACGTCAGACCAGTGAGTCAAGTTCGTGAGGCTCGGGGAAGCCTTCAGAGACGTGCTGCACCAATGGAGGCTGGTGTTTGCCCGAACAGGTACCTCCCTTCTACGTGAGGCCCCATGTTGGAAATCTCCACGATCATCCGATCATCGCTCGACATCTCAGCGAGAGTCGAATCCCCTGACTTAGTAAGCAGGGGAGTAGACTTCTTGGGCTGAGGCTCCAGACCGGTCAAGTCAACCACATGATCGATCAGGATCAGCTGGCTGCCGCTATCAGTCCGGCACCTCTTCCGGGCTTGCTCATTATCACCCCGAATGGGAGAACCAGTCCGTGGAACCAACTTCCCAGCCTCAACGGTCAGCTTTTCCTTCACCTTTCTAATGGGGACCGCTGAGGTGGAGGATGGTGTGGGGCGCTTGGCCTCAGCAGAAGGAATCACACCTGCACAAAATAAAAACCAAAGTAAGGTACCAGAGTTGAAGGGAAAACAAGTCGAACGGTTCAAAGAAACAAAGGCTTACCGATGCTCGCAACCAGAATCTTAGAAGGGGTGACATAAGCCCGAAGATTCCGAGCACACCCCAGACGAAGCCGATCGTACTAACAAAGTAGAGCAGCGTCCAGAAAAGGTACAGTATCCTGAACTGGATAAGTATTCCAGCGGTCGGGGAACGGAAGTGGGTTGCCCACATGAATAAAGAAAAAATGTTCTTCCCACTTGTCGGGGCCAGTGGGATTATCCATAAATAGTTGGCGATTGGAACGTGCGATCAGCCTCAAGTACCCAGTAGGCCAGTAGGGCTGGTAGCTGTAGTGATATAAAAACAGATCAACATTAGGGGGAATCCCCAGATCATGACACCGGATGATGAAACCGGTCAGGATATCGTAGGTGCTAGGCATGAACTCAGCCGGAAGCACAGAGACCTGACACAAAAAATCCACAATAAATGGGTGTAGAGGAAAGCGAAGCTCGGCCGCCAGGGCGTCAAGGTGTACTAGCACGTGCCCCGATCAGTGTCTCATAGGATGCTTAATGAAACCTGCATAATATTCCCTAGGGGAGGCAGGAATTGACGAATCTGCCATTCGGCGTCCCCAGGAAGGCGCTGATGTTGCTTTCTGATGCGACGGAAGTGCAATGAGATGCGGGGGGGGGGGGGGGCGTTCAGGCATCCCCTTCTCGTAAATGGCAAGATCATCCATCATCCGAGAGTGGCTGATCGGGCTGATGGGATGTAGAGGAGTTGGTAGAATCCGATACTTGGGAAGAAGAACCTCCTGCCTGACCGACAATGTTGTTCTTTGCTCTGGGGCGATAAAGGAGCGACATATATTCTATATCTGAAGAATAGGAGGAAAGTGACATAAAAAGGGGCTAGATGCCTCAAAAGAACCTAAGAATTCTAGAGAGAGAAAGCCTAAGAGAAATTACAAAAGATTGAAGAAGCAGCATGAAAAATGAGAAGGAAGCACCTCTCTTCTTATAGAGGAGAGTGCTGCACAAAACCCGAATCCATATGGGACGTGGCAAAAGGTGGTTGCGAGCAACCATGACGTCTCCAGGTTCACGACCCAAGACTGCACGAATGGCAGATGTGCCAATGGTAGCGATGGACAATATACCAAGACTCACATTACGAACAGAGATCAGGAAGAAAGACGTGACGAGATTCTTGGGTTCACAGATAAATTCCCGAACGGGAGAAGGCCACGGAAAACCACGGAAAATGTTCAAAGCCCAAGAAATTAGAAGACGTGAGAAGATTCTTGGGTACGTATGTAACACTTGAGATTTACTTTAAACGGATTAATAGTACTACTCATACTAACAAGGTGCATCTCCTTTTAAGGAAGCTCATTAGCTAAGAACTCCAAAGTTAAGCGTGCTTACACGGGAGTAGTCTTGGGATGGGTGACCCCCTAGGAAGTTTCTCAGGCTACGCACGAGTGAGGACATAGTGCGTGGAAAAGGCTGGTGGCGGTTTGTGAGGATAGTACTAGAGGTCAGAAGTAACTACCTCGGGGGCTGCGGGGCCGGGGTGTTACAACATACCAGTTTAAGCTATACTCAAGATGATGCCTTGAGTCAAACTTCACTAACTAGATAATACTCCACGAACATTCCCCGGAGGGAGAGTCTATTAAGGAAATAGTCGTCCTAAGTAATCGATCGAACCCAGGGAGACTATGGAGAATCCTTGGCCAAACACAGTTTAAATCCCCCGAACGGGGTGGCTATTGGGAAGATGGCTAAGGAAAAGAGCTAAGTCTTAAAAATTTGGCCGAATCCCGAAGAGAAGACCAAAATACAAAAGGGTGTAAAAATAAAGATAGCATATGGACAAAAAGATTTCATTTTTACTCATCGGCTCTACCGGCCGGGAAGTACAACTGTCATAAGTTCTAAACAAAAAGAGTTATCATGATTAAAAAACAAAGACTGGTCTACTGGTCGGGGGCTTCCTCTCTATCGTCATTACCTTCGTCCTCGTCATCTTCTGATTCAGATGGGGGGCTCAGGCTCCTTACCAGCATCACGATTGGCAGCCCGCTGCATTTCCCGTTCATATTTCTCGAAATGGGCCATGACAATGGGGACTTAAGAGAGGTCGGAAGCCTGGACCTGCCTGCCCAGCTGGTGCTGCAACCGGGCCACAAAGGGCCGCAAGATGTGCTGACAGCCCATGACATAGTGATTCCCGGTCAGGGAGTTGTTCCAATGTTTGACCTGGGGATCCTTATCAAGAAGGTCCACTCCTGCCCTATGCTGCTCATCACCCCGGGGGAACTTCTCAATATGAGCCCCAAATATAGCTGGGAGTTGATGCAGAGTGTACTCCTCCTTAATGGCGGTGAACTCATCAGAGGATTTAAAAGCATCCTGCACGACAAACAAATCCACATTCACTTCAGAAGGGCCATACGGGATGCGGGAGGCCATCTCTTCGAACTTGATCTAAGCGGCCTCAGCCGCGGAGACCTTAGCTTGGGAAGCGGCAAGCTGAACCCGGAGCTCACCAAGTTCAGCCTAAAGCCGTTGCTTTTCTTCCATAAAGGCTTTTGGATCAACCTCAAAAGTACGGGTTGCAGCAACAGCATCCTATTCGACATTGGTCCGGGCCACGATCAGCTCCCGTTCTTTCGCTAGGCGGGCCTCCCGCAGTTGTAGATTGTACAGCCCCATCTACAAAAATTCATGAAAGAAGGATGAGATAAGGAAAACAGAGGAATTATGTAAGAAACAAATGAGAGGAGAAGAGATAAGGTACCTTCAGAGCCGTTAGAGCAACACATTCCTCTACCCGATCGACCGGAAGATCAGGCAAAGGAAAATTATTGAAGAATGCGGAGGTAGTCTAGATCTGGCTCGCCGAGGAACCGGTCTTCTCCAAAATATCATGGACCGGATCCTCCAGAGAAATTCGCCTGATCCGCTCCGTGACATTTGCAGCATTGGCCTGATCGGGATCCATAACCACATCAGGAGCGGTTTGGAAATGCTTGGAGAAATGGTGCAGCTAGTCTGACCCAAATGGGTCATCTATCAACATGCCATCAGGGTCAGCGTGCTGGAAAGGAACCTGTTGAATAGGTTGAAACTCCTGGGCAGGCTGAGGCTGCTCGGTATTCTGTGAAGCAGCAGTAGAAGATTTTGGCTGGGAATTCTTCTTAGCCTTCTTCCTCTTGCCCATGCCACCGGCAACAAGCAGGCGATATCATTCATGATAGCGTCTGGGTTGGGAGCTGAAATATAAATAACAAAGGTAAATGTTAGTATCGAGCAATCTTGCCGCGTGGGAAACTAAAAGGGAACGTTTCTCTCGCGAGAAGGACCGCCCGACCCATGGCACTTGGTTGTCAATCAAGTACACCCAGGAGTATGGGCAGTACCTAACCCGCTTGGATGAGCCGATCGGGAGTCATGAACTTCACGATGTTGCAGGAATTGTCCTTCTCCACTGCAAAAACATCCCTGTTAATCTCCTCGGTAAGGAGTGGCTCTAGAGATTTATGGGGGAAGGCATTCCATCTTTTCGGGATCAAACCGCCCGGGATGGAAATGAAGAAAAACCGATCTTTCCACCCCCTTAATAGAGGTTAGATTGTCGGTGAACAATATATGTCCCGTTCGGGCACTTGCGGCCAAGTACCCATGTGTTTGCTGGGGGGCCACTTTAAAAAATTGTGGAACAGATCCAGACTGGGTGTGACCTTGGCATTCACGCAACGACAAATAAAGCCGGCCATCACCCGATAGGAGTTCCACATGATTTGGGCCGGTACAACCTCGTAAAATTTGAAAAAAGAAACAAAAAATGGGTGCAACGGGAACATAAACCCGACCTTCACTGAATCTAGATGGACCACCACCATCCCAGGAAGATGCCGCATTGGGTGAAGCCCAGCCCGAAGACAGAAGTCCACTGGGTCTGGAATTTGGGCCCTGTTTTGGGGGGTCAATTTCTGCCTCCTCTCCCTGATCAATCTTAGGTCAAGCTTATAGCGATGGACATCGCCTGGGGGACCAGCCGCCATAGAGGCAATTTCATCACCGGACTTCGTGCTGTCAGAATCCTCGCCGGAAGAAGTAGAGTCATCAGTAGAATCTTCAGGAACCGCCTTCGCCATTGCGTCAGTTGCAACATAAACAAAGGGGACAACTATTGCGTGATGTGCAGCAGCGTCATGGACTACCCCTTGGGAGTCCGTTTCCGAATCAGAACCGGGAGAGTGTGGTCGGGAAGACATATTGACTGAACATGAAATAGAAAAAGAAAGAAGAAGGGGCAAAGAGTACCTGGACAAACGAAGCTTGGGAGTCCTAGAAAGAAGGCAAAGCTAACGCACGAAGGATTTGGAAATTCGAAACCCAGGACCAAAAATTTATAAGGCATACTTATAGACTTACAAGCGTTGATTCATTGATGAACCATGAAGAGACACGTCACCAGGAGCGTTTGAGGGGATACGTGTCACGCGGAGGAACAATGACCAGAAATCATGACGATTACGGAGAAACTAAAACGACAGTCGTAATAAGCCGCTAATTCATGACATCGGAAAACCGGCAAAGTCTCGTTCGCGATTGCCGAACGGCATAAAATAGTTTCTACTTCCTTATGCACTCACTAACGTTCGAGACATCGGAAGTGGGGGACTTGTGTTGGGATATTGGGTCGAAGGCCCAACACCCGGCCCCAAAGCCATTAAGGACACCAGAAGAAGGACAGGCCCATGAATAACTTTATCCCGAACGGGAACCGGGGTTCAAAGGGAGTTCATCTCAATATCCGAAATGGGTCAAATAGTATACTTGGATCATATTAACAACGCCATCCAGGACCATTAGTCTGTTGCCCGATGTAATACTTGATATTTAATTTAAACGGATTAATAGTACTACTCATACCAACAGAGGTGCATCTCCTTTTAAGGGAGCTCATCACCCAAGAACTCCAAAGTTAAGCGTGCTTGCACGTGAGTAGTCTTGGGATGGGTGACCACCTGGGAAGTTTCTTAGGGCGCGCATGAGTGAGGACAAAGTGCGCGGTAAAGGCTCGTGGTGGTTTGTGAGGACAGTACTATTGGTCTAGAGTAGCTACCTCGGGTCCTGTGAGGCCGGGGTGTTACAAATGGTATCAGAGCAACCCTACGGCAGTGTGCTGATCCGTTGGATATCGGGCGGGCACTTAGTAGGGGAAAAGATTCTGGGATATGATTGAGATTGGTTTACAGACGCAACGAGGACGTTGCGATCCTAAGTGGGGGTGATTGTAACACCTGAGATTTAATTTAAATGGATTAGTAGTACTACTCATACCAACAGAGGTGCATCTCCTTTTAAGGGAGCTCATCACCCAAGAACTCCAAAGTTAAGCGTGCTTGCACAAGAGTAGTCTTGGGATGGGTGACCCCCTGGGAAGTTTCTCAGGGCGCGCATGAGTGAGGACAAAGTGCGCGATAAAGGCTCATGGTGGTTTGTGAGGACAGTACTATTGGTCTAGAGTAGCTACCTCGGGTCCTGCGAGGCCGGGGTGTTACAAATGGTATCAGAGCAACCCTGCGACGGTGTGCTGATCCGTTGGATATCGGGCGGGCACTTAGTAGGGGAAAAGATTCTGGGATATGATTGAGATTGGTGTTTGGGCGCAACGAGGGCGTTGCGTTCCTAAGTGGAGGTGATTGTAATACTTGATATTTAATTTAAACGGATTAATAGTACTACTCATACCAACAGAGGTGCATCTCCTTTTAAGGGAGCTCATCACCCAAGAACTCCAAAGTTAAGCGTGCTTGCACGAGAGTAGTCTTGGGATGGGTGACCACCTGGGAAGTTTCTCAGGGCGCGCATGAGTGAGGACAAAGTGCGCGGTAAAGGCTCGTGGTGGTTTGTGAGGACAGTACTATTGGTCTAGAGTAGCTACCTCGGGTCCTGCGAGGCCGGGGTGTTACACCCGAATGGGCAGTCCGCAAGTGGCAAGGTGCATTAAATGCTAGAGTATGGCGTCAGCAAGTGGGAGCATCGGTGTTCAAGTGGCATGAAAAGCAACCAATCATCTTTGAGCACCTCATACTCCCCACCTACCCCATCTTTATATTTTCTTTGACCCTCGAACTAATACCCACGTCCTTAATATCCAAACCGTGTGTTGGGCTTTTGGATCTATGGGACTTAACCTCAACAAAGAGTCTTAAACAGTGCCAAGTTTAAAAATGAATATATACATTAATTTTTAGCAGGATCGGTTTTAGTTTTTAAAAGCAATACAATTGTTGCTGCATAAATAAAGGACACATCTCTCAAGTCCTCACATCTTTTTAGCTTTTAAGGTTTTTTATTCAATTTAATTATAACATAACAAATTTTATATAATTATTTTAGAACCTGTTTCTCTCAAATCTCACCCCAATTACTCATTTGTTTCCAAATTTCAATAAGCTATATCTGAGTTCTAATAGTTATTTTAGAGGACGTCAAATTTGCAATCTTCTTGCGTTAGTCCTTGTAAGGAATAATTGTATTTAGATTTTGATGATGCTATATTCATTAGGACTTTAGAAGTACCCCTTTAGAAATTATGTATTAGAATTTTCCTTTGTAAAATTCTTAGATGTATTCGACCTGACAGAAGTGCTTCAAGAGCAGAAGTGCTTCAAGAACAGAAGGGCGCCCAGAGCAGAAGTGCCTCTTAAGGCGTTATTGGAACAGAGGACCTTTGGTTCCCTGCTCCAGAACAGAAGTCCTCAGGACCTCTGTTAGTATTGACTCTGACAGAAACCCTTCTGGGTCTCTGTTGGATACTCCCAACAGAAGTGCTCCAGACCTCTTCTGTTCTACTCTCTGACAAAGACACCAGAAAGTCTGACACTTGGAAGATTTTCAAAGAACCGGGAAGTCAACTTAAAGATTCCTTCAACGGCTAGGAGTATAAAACGGAAAAGCTACAGTGCATGCATTAAATGCTCATTTAATGCACCTCATGCTACGTAGAGTAATTGCAGATGATTGGCCGGAATGTCAGGAATACTTTATCCCAAAATAGTAACCCGCCAACCTTACCGGGCTCTACTAGTCAAGCCAACTGATCACTCATTTAATGCAGTTGTCCTCCTACTCCTCCAACGGGAAGACAACCTCAGTATAAAAGATACACTACGAAGAACAACCGAACAACTTTGCTATAACCTTGCTATCACATTGCTAACCGAGCAAGATATTCAAACTCTGAAAAGCAAAAGCCTCCTTGAGATTCAACCTTAGTATACTCTACAAGAGAAGGCAGAAGTTGGAAAAATTCTCTTTCCAACTCAAGCAAAGTTCCAAGTGTTCTTCAACTCTTCAAGCTCTTCACATACACACATTTTGTAACGAAGCTAGTTGGAGGAACCTCAGTTTCAACAGAAACTCTTCTTGCTACAAGAAGGACGTCCTGACTGGCCTGAGATGCGAACTGGACGTACTCCCCAGGATTGCAGAGAAAAAGGAGAGGATGACCTCCATTGTTGACGGACTGTCACAATGCCAACTGAGCAAGGTCATCTCTCATGATTATGAGGCATACAGCAATATGGACACAGTTGAGTTCTATCTCAACGCATCCTTCAAGGATGAAGTCATCTCCTCCGTTGTCCAAGGAGAAAAGGTGGTGGTTGATGCTGACGTCATCAACAACATCTTCCATATTCAGCAAAAGGGAGGAAGGGACTCTCTACTTGACTTGGAAGATATTGACATCCCTCTGTCAGAATTCAAGAAGAAGTTCTGCAGAAAAGGGGAAGAAGTTGAGAAGGTCAACATAAAGAAGCACCTGCTCAAGAGGGAATTTGAGCTACTTATAAACATTTTCCACAAATGTTTATGGTGCAAGTA